ATCTCTGTCCCGACAGGCGTCACACGAGAGTCGGTCAATAATCCAGAATAAAGTATGATTCGACAACGCTCGCAAAAATTCATTCACGTCGAAAATGACCTGCCTCATCATCCCACCATCCCACAGTTCCCACTGGGCAGTATCATCCTGGTTGGTTGTTTCCCGTTGTTCGGCCTTTTGAGCGCGGGGCGGTGCTTGTATGTGGGAATCGTCATCCGGGATTGTCTTCTCCTTTGTTTGGTTGTCACACTGTGGATCGGAGCTTTTTTTATGCTTTGTCTTATGACATCCTGGCTGGTCTTGTCCCGTCGTTTGGCCTGTAGTTGCCGGGGGCGGTGTTTGCATGTGGGACTTGTCATCTAAGCTTGTCATTTAGGATCTGCTTTGCAGCCCCCTGTTCTGTTTTGTTTGGGCTGTTTCCTTCCTCTTTTCTTTGCTTCTTTGCCTTCTGGCTGTGTGCAAGTGGGTCGATATGACACTCGGGGGTGGGGGCAGCCGCCGCTCAACCTACATCCACGTGGGCGGCCTTGTACGCAAGAGGTTCTGAACAGGGGGAATTGTAAGAAAGAAGATAAAAAATTGAATTCAGTTTTCCCTGGTTTTCTTTTCTTCTTTTTTCTTTTTTTCGCATTTGCGCTCTGATATTCCTGTGACAATATATATATCGTCACCTGTGACAATATATATATATCGTCACACTGAGAATCGGAGCATATATATATCATCTCCCAAGGAAGGGAAGACGTTGGTGACCTGCAATTCGAAATCCACCGATTGCAAATCGCATGGATTTGCGTTTCAGGGCATATAACTGGGACTTTATGGACTCAGCTCCGGACGTGATCGCGGTCAGATGCATTCGGGCTGGACGTAATTGCAGTCAGATACATTCACCAAAGTGCTAGTGCGAGTAGGTCCTCAGATCTGCTTTTTTTTTTTTTTTTTTTCCCACAAGCAAAGACTCTGCTCATTTCAAAACATAAAGGAACCGGGAATCCCCCTCAAACAACCCGTAAGAGATATACAGTAATTGCTGGGACCATTACCCAGCGTCGGTGTAGGCATTGGGAGAAGCCCAAAGACAGAAATGACCAACATCAGACCACTGTCCTGAAGGACACCCAATCCGCAATTTGAAATCCAACGATCTGCCCGGAAAAAAAAAAAAAAAAAAAAAAACGCCTGATGTACACGGACGAGAAAGAACGAACTCGAGCACACATGTTTGTTACAATAAGATATCTCATACCAAAAAAAAAAAAAAATAGTGCCCAACCATTTTGCATGTACGGTCGGAGAAAAAAGGTGCGTTTTTTTGTTTTCGTTTTTTTTTTTTTTTTTTACGTTTTTTATTCTTATGGGAACCGATTATTAGTTCTTTTTTTTTCGTAATTTCGCATCTTAATTATGTGATCGATTCGCTTTCATGACGACGAAAACCCGCCACGTTTGTCCAAAATTATGTGGCAGGGAACCAAAAAAAAAAAAAAAAAAAAAAAAAAAAAGGAAAAAAAAAAAAAAAAAAAAAAAAAAAAAAAAAGGAGTGAATCCGAGTGATAGAGAGAAATCGTGGAACCCCCTCCATTTTTCCACATGGAAGCCCGTTTCCATGGAAAACACAGTTCAAAAAGATTAAAAAAAGTTTTCAAAAAACTTTTTCAAGTTTTTTTCCCCATATGTACGAAAAGAGCAGCTAGATTAACAAATATTTCCTGTTTAGGTAGTTTCCAATCCTTTATGCTTTCTGGACTGGTGCCTACTACGACGAGGCATCGTTTTCATAGACAGTTTAGGTCTCCATCTCTGCAGTGAACAGGCTCAGCACCTCAACGAAAATACAGGATAGATACATCATGGGCCAACCCCCCTCCACTACTCTCCGAATGAATCTTCCGCTAGAACACGGAAAGATACACACCGCCATGATTTTGTCGTTTGTGCAACATGTGGAGAGTAGTATGCCGCTTACAGGAGGACGGACGGAGAGAAAGGACGGAGAGATGATCCCTACTTCCTCTCTCTCTCTCTCTCTCTCTCTCTCTCTCTCTCTCTCTCTCTCTCTCTCACACACACACACACACACACACACACACACACAGAGAGCACCTCAATTGCGAATATCGTTGGTCAGGAGGACGGACGGTGAGAACGGAAGTGAGGACCACCACCCCGCCTTTGCGAGGATTGTACTCGGACCAGAAAAAACGAAGAAGAGCAACAACAACCAAAAAGAAGAATAGAGACAGTACAGCGGCCAATCTGCTTTATTTCTTTTTTTTCTTTTCTGTTCTGTTCTGTTCTGTTCTGTTCTTTTTCTTTCTCTTTTTCGCTGCCAATCTGCTTTCAGTACATGCTTCTCAAGCTTTACATTCAAATCCGCATGTAAGGCTGAGAAGTCTTTCCCCCAAACACTACGCACCCTCGTAATGAATGTAAGCAAGCCATGTTTCCGGTCAGGTACAGTCATAGTGAGGGTGCGTTGTGTTCGGATGACGACGGTAGTAATTCCACAGGGTTGTCGATCCGATACCTTCGCACAGACGATTTTGACGTGACGTCACCTAGTATTAGGGAAAGTGAATCACGTGGTGATGCCACGTGTCGCCACGAGATTGAATTGACAGAAAATGCCGCTATGGCGTCGCCCCGCCCGGCCGCGTCTCCCACCTGCGTGCAAGAGCAAGGGTACGATGACTACATGTTTTCGTTTCTTTTGTTTTTTTTTCGGTTTTTTTTTGTTCAGGGGCCATGCTAATCTTCTCTGTATCGTTCCAAGGACTGCTTTTTTTTGCCCCTTCGGCGAGTTTCGGACCCTGTCGAGGCCTGCCTACAGTAGTCGCACTACCCCCCATTCGCCAACATTTTTTATGTATTTGGACTCAAGTCTGTCCAGATGCGTTCAATATGTTGGCGGATGGCGAGTGGTGTAGTGGAAGCAGGCCCTCAAGCAGGCCCAACCACCCAGTCGAGGTTCGGGTTCTGGCTCGGGCTCTGGTCCGGGGGATGTTGTGGTCCCAAGCTCACTTGCAGCCTGCATCCGCGTGGTGGTCCCAACTGGAATAGAGTTTACCCTCGGTTCTGGCTCGGGCTTTGGTCCAAACTCACTCACAGCCTGTCTCGGGGTGATAGCCCCAGCCTTGTACCTGAATGGCCCTGTGTCTAACAAGTGGAATAATAAAGCTGGGAAGAGGAGTGGCACACAATTTTTTTAAGGGGATGTGAGGGGGAGGGGAATAGTCAAAATGAGCTCCCAAAACTCACTTGCAGCCTTCATCCCCGTGGTGGTCCCAACTGGAATAGGGTTGACGGTTCTGGCTCGGGCTTTGGTCCAGGGGGGCAGTTGGGGTCCCAACTCACTCACGGCCTGCCTTTGGGTGATAGCCCTAACAAGTGGAATAATAAAATTGGGAAGAGTAGTGGCACCCATTTTTTTTAAGGGGATGTGAGGGGGAGGGGAATGGTCGAAATGAGTCCCCATTGTTTTACCTCTTAAACAACAAGTTCCAAAATAGCACCCTTTTGTCAATAAACCCTTCCAGAGTTGTATGGGTTTGTCGTTGTGCTCGCTGATGGCGTTTGGGAGATTGAAACTACGGACATCTCCCATATAGCACCCTGCAAAATTGCCAATAGAAGCCTCCATCAGGTCCCCACCTTTACCTGCTGGTTACAACGAAAAATATCCTCGAAGAGTATGGGGAGGACTGCCAATTTCCATCATCTTCTCCATCGTTACATCGCTTGCACGACGACCTGCTGCCGCAAAGTGATACTTATTATGTACCTCGTAAACCATCCTTGCGCCAATTCGTTTTTTCATTGCTTGTTGTGTCCATTAAAAAAAACAACAATAAAGATAATAAATATCAACAAATTGTAAAAGTCATTTTTTAAATAGTAAAAATCGATCGAAAACAAATTATCACTATGCAGGGAAAACTAAAACAACCCTCGTAATTACTCATTTAGGCAAATCAAGAGGCTAATACTTATTTATCATTGAAAAAATAAGCAAGAAGAGACTTTGACCGCTCTTCATTTCCTACTATCTAAACCCCTTACCTATTGAATAACTACATGGAATACACGAAACCGAGGCATAAACAAAGGAGTGTTTCAGGCACCTCGAGCAACTAAAGCCAGCTTGGTTAAAACCTTCAGATCAATATGGCTAAGAGAGAGTACTTAAATCCACTTGTAATTGCTACCATCTTCCAAAACTTACCCTTATATTTTTATAAAGATTTACAAACGGTGGTATGTGAAGAGGCGTAAGGGAGGCAACAATACAAATGCATTGCTCTTATAAACAAATTTTATTGTATTTGGTACAAATGTCATAGGGGTATGAGATTCGACAGACGTGAAAAAATATGAAGCATTAAATTATTCATTGGTGTTGCATGTACGCATTTGCAATTAAAAACAGGGGTTTTTTACAATAAATTTTACACCCGCGATAGAACGTGAAATAGTTGTTGTGAATTACATTAACTTATTTAAATTTTACAATTAGATAATACTTTGAGTTTTGAATGTTATACCACTTCTTCATTCATTTTCAAAACTATTTTTCAAATATTGTGAGCACCAATAAATTTATCTCTTGTGTGAAGAGTGAAACCCTCAATCTCTTTACAAAAGCGAATTAAGTTTAGGTTCATAATAGTTCGAGTCCAATCAAATAAATAATTAAAAAAAAAAAAAAAAGAATGTTAGGGTCCAAGGTTCATCAGAGATTAAATAGTCAACAGTTGATCAACAATAATGGTAGAAACTAGATATGCCAAAGATTCGAGTCCATCAAGAGAACTAAAGGAAGACTAAAAAAAGGGGGAAATGAGAGGGAGGATACTAAAAGAGAAGGTTTGAATGAAGAAAGAGTTCAAGTCCTATTGTGTGCGTATAAAAGTGGTAACAAGAGATTCAACTGTTAAGGTGTTCAAAATAAAGAGGAAGGATGAATGAGCATGCAGATCGGAACTTGAAAACAAAAAAGTTAATCATTCTCAGATACTCGTATGAAACTAGACATAATCGTGCTCAAGAATGATGAACTTGACTTTTACCCAACTTATTTCATTGCTTGTTTTCCTCTCTCAATCGACCATGATCCGATCATGTCCTTTATCTCTTCGATTTACCTTTATCTCATTCTGTAATCCCTCATTCGATTGATTTTTGATCGAATCTCGGTTCCCTCTCTCAATCGACCATGATCCAATCATGTCCTTTATCTCTTCGATTGACCTTGATCTAATTATGTAATTTATCAATTCGATTGATTTTTTATCGAATCATATATTTTATCCTGATGAAAGTCAACTACCTATTCTACAGTCCGTCTTATAATTTTTTGTCAGATGTAACCTCGAAAACATATCTTTGATATTAACGGATGTTCCCCTAGGACCCCCTGCTAAAAACCCCTTCACAATCTGACCCAGATAAGGGATGGTTACTCCTTTTAATTTCTTGCATGTTTTTCTCACTTTTTGTGTTTTGAGTTTTACATGGGATATTAGACCTTGTTTTCAATTTGTATTTTATATGTAAACAGGGTAATGGACATTGAACCTGGTTTCTAGCAGGTGCAACTTCCCACTAATATACTAAAGTTAAAAAAAAAAAAAAAACATCCCCACAAATTAGACAAAAAACTTATACATATTAATCTTCTTTGTGTTATTCATAATCAGAGATGTCATTTTTATATTGAAAAAGGTCGAAGGAGGCAATTTTTAGAGTAAGGAATTGATAGTTTTTTCAATGATCATGTCCATAGAGTTCACTAGTTCAAAAAATATAGAGCAAATATGATACTATGATATAGTGTCCTTATTTTTGGGATACAGTAATATTTTTTATTGTTCCCCTCATTTTTTAACTAGAAAAATTCGTTAAAACTTCATGACATATAATCATTTTTGTATTTACAAATAATATCTGCATATGATAAGTCTAAGCGAATATAGTTAGGATAGACAGACAACAAGGCAAACATAACTTTACAATAAATTATAGGAAAAAAAAAATAAAAAATTAACCTATTGGTACAAAAAATACATTGGATAAAGGTTGAAAGCTGCTTAGTAGTAACCTGTAAAAAAAAACGTATGTTATGCAGAATAAAAATATAAATAACTTTTGTCATTAATTAATGTCCGAATTCTCAGCCAAACTCGATTTAAAAATCAAAAGCCTTAAACCACTAGTACCTCCGAGTCTATTTTTGTTGAGCCTAAATTTCATTGTGCTTTGAGTTTTACTGAGTCTAGGTCCCACTCCATTTTTCCCTCAGTCCTCTCACTGGAAAATAAATGAAAAAAGAACACTTGTGGCCGTGAAACTCATAAAAAAATAAAGGAAAAAAAAAATAAAAAATTTTGGTCGTGATTGTTGTTGTATACATTATTAGAAATGGTAGTGTGTCATCAGTGAAGGCATCTCAACCCCGTGGCCAGATTGTCAGATCCCTAAAAGACAAAAAAAAAAATAAAACGGAAATATGGATTCAACCGTGAAAATGGATAGATACATCCTTTAATTCTCACTATGACCAACATCACAATCCTCTAGGGAAATGCAGTTTGAGCAAATCACAACAGAGAAAAAATTCCAAAATTAAATAATCATTTTATAGTAAAATTACATTCTAAATTTTAAATTTTCATTTCATCTTTAAAATAATCATTCCAATTAAAAAAAAAAATTCTTACTTGAAAAATTTCATTCAAAGAATAAGATATCCCTTCCTATTTGAAATGCATGCTAGAAATAGAATGAAGGTCTGGATGAGTTCATAAAATATTTTAATTGGATTTTCATTCTATATAAGGATTTCCAGTCACAAATAGGTTAATCAAATCTAAATTAGAAGATATTAGTTGGAGTAGATTGAAGTTTAATTAAAACATTTCATAAACTCGTCTAGACTTTCATTCCATCTTGAACAAATAGATGTAGTTGGAAGGGAAAACTCACATTTAGACGGGAACTTGTGAAATAAAACTAGAAATTTTAAAATTGGACGAACATTAGAATGATAATTTATAAATATAGGAGAAGTAAGAGGCGGCGCGGGGCTACTCGTCGGGCGATGGAGGGTCCGGGCCGACACTGGACCGTGCAGACTGCCAGTGCATGCGGGGCCGAAGCTTAGGACACCGGAGAGAGAGAGAGAGAGAGAGAGAGAGAGAGAGAGAGAGAGAGAGAGAGAGAGAGAGAGTTTTCCATCGATCGGATGAGCAATGCACGACCAATAGGCAAGTCTCAAACCCCACGACTGAACCCATGCTATTCCCATCGATAGGATGAGCAAAATCGAATGAATCTTCCTCTAGAACATCGAAATATACACTACTACGCGCGCGTGTGTGTGTGTGTGTTTGTGTGTGTGTATGCGTGTGTGTATGTGTATGTGTGTATGTGTGTGTGTGTGTGTGTGTGTGTGTGTGTGTGTGTGTGTGTGTGTGTGTGTGTGTGTGTGTGTGTGTGAGAGAGAGAGAGAGAGGTACTTTAATCGCAAAATGAGCAAATTTGAATGAATCTACCACAGTGATTAGACCCTGCAGCTAGCCTCACTCTACTTCCATCGATAGGATGAGCAAAATCGAATGAAACTTTCCCTACAATATCGATATATACACA